TTTTTTTTTAAAAAAAAGCATTCCAAGTGCTTTGCTCTCGAAATGACCTCTTATGCAGTTGCTGCAATTGTAATTTTGTAACCTGTGCACATGCTCACAATTTTCATGTGGCCAAATAATTGTTACCTAACGTGATGTGGCCTTGTTCTAAGGCACAGGAATCTAGAGACACTTCTTTCACATGTTTTATTTCTGTCATATTTGTAGCTGCGATTAATAGATTGGGGTCTGGCCGAGTTCTATCATCCTGCTCAGGAGTACAATGTTCGTGTAGCCTCGAGGTACTTCAAGGGACCAGAGCTCCTTGTGGACTATCAGGTAAACTTGTTTGCAGAGCTGCTCTGTGTTGTTTTTATAGTTCCTTAGGGCTTTTCCTGGTTTGCTGTTTATTTAGTCAGTTTGGATACGTTCAAAACCCAGTCATTATTCTACCACAAAATACTAATTTCAAATTTTTCTCAGCCACATTTTTTGGAGGTAAGAGAGCTTTTAATTCTAAAATATCTGCAAAGGTCCAATGAAGACTAGAAACTCAAATCAGAAAAATGGGTTTCTAACAGCCTTGACTTATTGGTTGTCCTTATTTCTTCAGATGTATGATTATAGCTTGGACATGTGGAGTTTGGGCTGTATGTTAGCAAGCATGATCTTTCGAAAGGAACCCTTCTTCCATGGACAGGACAACTATGACCAGGTGAGCAATCACCATCTGGCTCTTACTTATTTGGGGGTGGATGCCAAGAAAATAGCATCCTTAGATAAGAATACTATCCTTGGGCCACTAAATATCACTCACTGTCTGTATATGAGCTTTTCTTCTAGGTGAAGAATTTCACAGAATTTTGTCTTGGTTACCAGGTCCCCCAAAGATAGAGAGACAGATAAGGCCATCTGTGCTAAAATTCTAAAGTGAATCTCTGAAGAAGTCAGGCACCTCCTTGTCTAAGAAAATTAGATTCTGATCATCAGATTATAATGCCAGATTATTCAGCTTCTAGAAGATTATTGTCATAGTTGTGTTACGATTTTAAATGCAGTTTGGGAATTTGCATTTATGTGACCTTTGTGTCCTGGGTCTGTTTGCCTATTCTAGATTCAGATGTGTTTCTGGCCCCTGGAGATTTAGTGGTATGGAATTCTCCTGATTTCCTGGCACAGTGTCCTCTGGGCTCCCAGTGAGTTGTGTGCTCAGTGATTTGGTCAGTTTGCTTTGTGTTTCAGCTTGTTCGCATTGCCAAGGTTCTGGGGACAGATGAGCTGTATGGGTATCTGAAGAAGTATCACATAGACCTAGATCCACACTTCAACGATATCCTGGGACAGTAAGTAAGAGAGAGAGAAAGAAAGAGGGCTTTTACCTTACCCTGTTTCAGAAGTGGGAAGGTTAGCCGGAATCACTTTCTTTTCTCTTTCTAATCGTTTCAAAATTGAAATATCCTTTATCCTTTATTCCCATGTGTATTTAATTTATTTTGAGATATTTGAACATTGTTTACATGTGTCTTCTAATTGTTTTACTTCTCTAAAAGATAACCTGTTTATCAATAGAAAATGGAAAACAAAATCATAGTGTTACAGAAAAAAGCTTTCTGGTATAGCATGTTAATATTTTAATGGCAAATTTTCAAAAGTTGTGATTCTTCTTGACTAAGAGATATATAGTTTCTTCTTGTTTTCTGTAATGGATTTTTAAAATTTTAAGCAAATTTTAAAGCATGTTGAATTTTCATGTATACTGCAATAGCGTTGAAAAGTAAATGTTTTATTGACAGTTTTCAAACAATGTTTTATGGATCCTCTTTGTTTCTGAGGCTAGCCCTCTATATAAATATATCTGCTGACCAAGAAAAATTACTGTTACCTCCATGCCTCACTCAGAATTGATTAAAAGCCTGGGGCATAAAAAATAATCTAGAAAGGTTCCACAAATTCTAAATCAGATTCTGTTCATCTAGTCACAAAGCACTGTTGTTTTGGTATGCTGTGATATAACTATGGAGGCAAGGCAGGTACGAAAAAGAATAAGATTTAACAAGCTTGTAGTCAGTGCAGTATTTATTCTGAGATCTTGTTGCTTTAGCCTCAGAATACTAATGCTTCACTTTTGTTCTCAGACATTCACGGAAACGCTGGGAAAACTTTATCCATAGTGAGAACAGACACCTTGTCAGCCCTGAGGCCCTAGATCTTCTGGACAAACTTCTACGATATGACCATCAACAGAGATTGACTGCCAAAGAGGCCATGGAGCACCCGTACTTCTGTGAGTCTCCAGGAACTGCTGTTAAGGGGTGTAATTTATTAAAGGAAACAGTGTTCCACTCTATCTGTGAGGCCATCCAAAAGACTTCTAGGTATTTGTATTGGATCTTCCTTGGAATTTGGCCCCATTTGTCCTTGATAATTGAGACATCTTACCAGATCAGTGTCTTGATCCCCAGAGGTGTTTGCTTATTCGCTGGCCGGCCATAGCTCCCGTGAGTCCAGTCAGTTTTTTGGTTTTTTTTTTTTAAAAGATGACCGGTAAGGGGATATTAACCCTTGACTTGGTGTTGTCAGCACCATGCTCACCCAGTGAGCTAACCGGCCATCTCTATATGGGATCCGAACCCATGGCCTTGGTGTTATCAGCACCACACTCTACCAAGTGAGCCACAGGCAGGCCCCAAGTCTGTTTGACCTCTCCCTGTGGCCCTGAGCTAGTAGATCACAAGTATCTCAAGTTTATTTTCAAATATATACATTGGTGTGGAAACCTAATCAATGATTATTTCTCCCCTCAATAAACAAGTAATTAGTTAAAAGTAGTAAGATAATCATAGTGTGTTTCTAAAGAAGGAAGTAAATAAATAAAAGGAATTTGAGGAAAGGAAAGCAGGTATGGAAAGATACTGAAATCCTACCTGGACCACTGACTTCTTAAGTCTAATCAAGCAGTATGTGTGTATACCCAGTTATATGGTTGCTCGTTCTGCATGCATAGAGTTCTTCCCACTGATAAAGTGTGTTTCAAGTGAACCCTCCTCATGTTATCAGCTTTGTGAGATGGTTGAGTCCAGTCAGGGAGGCGACTGGAGAATAGGGAGGTTAAGTGCTTTGTCTGAATTCACTCTCTAGATCAAGATGAAAACTTTCAACCTTAAAGTTTTTGTCTGTTGCTTGACCAATATGCTGTCTTTCCCTCTCCTTTCTTTTCCTCTGGAGAGTAACTAAATCCTTTCCTGAAGAATATATTGCTATGCTCTTGAACCCATGGCCTGTAAGCTTAAGGAGACAGCAAATTTTAAAGGTCTTACACTTCAACCTTCTAGACCTCAGACCAAGTGCAGCTCAGATATCCTCTTTCCAATTTCTGGCACAGAAAGCTATTTTTACCCTTTGGGTTAGATCAAATTAAGAATACGGGTGTTTATAACCGATAATTTATGATCTATCTACTTTTCTGAATATATGTCATATTTCAATTAAAAAAAATTTAAACTCCTGTTGCTTAAAATTGATATTTTCTAATGGCTCTTTTATTCACTTTTTCCTCTGAAGTGCATATTATTGTACATGCTTTGAAGAAATTAGGTGTCGGGTAGGTTAGTATTCAAGGAAAATAACAGATAAAATTAGTAGAAATTTTGAACAGTGGAAAATTAGTGTTTCTGTGTCTCTCAGCAGTTGAGTTTGTATTTTGAGGAAGTGTTAGAGTAGAGTACAAGAACAGTTTTTCAGTGTCTGGTTTTTATACTACCTGAATTCCATGACTGCTCTGCCTCCATCTGCTGTCCCTGGCTTGCCTGTCAGTCTCTGTCTCTCTGTCTCACTGTGGAAGGGGTGGGTTTGTCATGGCGTTCTCTCCTGCGCTTACCAGCCCTGAGTCAGCTGACTCTCATCCTGCTTTCTTGCAGACCCTGTGGTGAAGGAGCAGTCCCAGCCTTGCTCAGATAATGCTGTGCTTTCCAGCGGCCTCACAGCAGCACGATGAAGACCGGAAAGCGACGGGTAATGCGGCACTGATGCTTGCCACTAAAACCAGCCAACCAAACACACATCTTGAAGGAAAACTACAGTGTGATAAAGAGAAATTCTAATCATTCCTTCCAAATGCAAAGAAGAGTAAAGACCTAAAAGTCTGTGAGAAAGAAAGCAAGAAACTCCCCAGTACTAGTCTCCAGGGAGCTGCTGTGTGGCAGCGTGATGATGCACATAGTCAGGATCTGAGGGAACTTCCCTTTGGAATGCATGGGAGATGAGAGACTCGGAGTTGTTGTACAGTTACCTTTATTTAACAGGACACCACTGTTGAAGTAACCCGTTCAGTCAACAAGCTCTGAATATCTGACTTCCTATCTATTCCATTGTGGTCTGGGTTTCTTTTGGTGAGATTCAGGCTCAAGTTTTAGCAGAATGTCAGCAGTCTGTACTGACACACCAGCCTTGTTTATGTAAAGGATATAATAAAACAGTGACAGTATTTTTTTTTTAAGCTCTTTTACAAATTTATGTTTTATGTATTTTTTTTTAATGACATGAGCTTTCCAGGAAATGTACCTCATCCCTGCAGTTTTCCTCTAAGTGTATTCATTTGGGAGCAAACTGCAGTCACATAAGAGTCCTTTTTGATGTCAAGAGGCTTCACTTTAAACCTTACAATGCCATGAACAGATCCATCTGTCAGTCTCATCAAAAGTCCCATGCTAAGTGCATAACTTGGAGCTCACTGTAACTTTTGTTGATTTGCCTAACCATAAAATCTTGTTGCTATCTTTTTCATTTAGGCTATTTCTTTTTTTTTTTTGGCAGCCTTGTAAGGAAAACCTCACCATTTCCCAGCACATCCCTAATATGTGCACCTATTTTAATGCACCTTTGTAAAACAAAGATCTTTTTGTTCACAACCATAACTAAAGCTGGAAAGTTAGTCTTCAGGCAGGTCATGGAGGGAGAAAAGCATCTTATTAGAATTTATTCAGGAGACTTATTGAAAAAAATGTATCACCCTCCTCCCCCTTTGTATCCTTATGAGAAACAATTTCCAGCTGTAATCAGGGTAATATGCATTTTTAAGCTCTGATATGTGATACATGAGTGTGATGGCAAAGATAAGTCTTTCTCGCGTGCAGGTACTGGAGTTGTGTGGGCAAGGCCATCCGATAACTCAAGCAACTGAGAGGGGAGGAATATACAAGTGGCTTGGGGAAGGGAGTGGAGGTCCTGGAGCAAGTGTTAAAGCTTTGGATCCATTGTGCTAGCCTTCACATTAGCAAAGAAAGCTAGAGTTTGTTTAAAAAAAAAAATAGGGCTGATTTTATTTTGGGGGCTTTTCACCAATATGGTTTGCAGGCAATCCTGTCACCCCAGGTGCAGAGCCATGCCACAGCTCTGGGGACTTCACACACCTAGACTAGAGCTAGAGATGTCTACAACCACATCACACTTTAGGGTTTCTTTATTAACTACTTAATAATGCCACACATTTTTATAAGGTTAGATTGTTTGTTTGAAACATCTCTTTACACTCCATATTCCAATAAAATGGTAGTGATAGAAGGTCTTGTCTCTAAATGTAGATTCTATTTTTATTGTTTGGTCTGTGGGAACTTAAAATGCAAATGAAACTCTTCTCTTATTATAGAGGTGAGTTTACAGATTAGAAAATAAGATCCCAAAGCCAAGAAATGCATTCAGTTAAGGCTCTCATATCAATACTGCCTGCCTACTTTCACATTCTATATATTAAGTAAACATTTGTTCTACCTGGAAATCAAAAATAAGACTGAGGTCTCAGCTGAACCTATGTTAGTATGTCAGGCAACAAAACTCAGAGTTTTGGACTATCAAGAGCCTTGTAATGTGCCCTTATAGGCAATCCCAAAATGTTGGTTATTAGCAGGGAGATGTGCCACTGTGTCTTTCTTGCTCCCTTACCTCTCTCTCTTTCACCCTCTACACCACCCCCTGCTCTTTTTGTTTGTTTGTTTTAAGTTGCCTTTCTGCACCAGATAAGAGGAGCCTACTGGAGGGTCTTGGTGAAGCAGTAACCCCATTTCTTGCCCTTGGATCCCCCAGAGGCGATAAAATCACCTGGAGTGGAAGAGTCAGATTTACCTCTGCCTCTCTCTCCCTTGACCATGATTCAGTAGGTGCAAACCCAGCTAACCTGCCTGTCCTTAGGTTCTGTAATGCAACTTTGACACAGGAGCAATTCTTCCTTTTTCAGTATACGGTTTACTTTTCCAACACTTATACTTTTTACCTCTCTTTATGCCTTAGACTTAGAGCATAACTGGGTTTGAAATGCTCTCTCCCTTTTGGGTCTGGTCTTGATACCTGGGCCACTCTTTTCTGAACTAAAGTGAGTCTAGTCCAGACCTTTTTTACCTGTCAACAAAACCATTTTGTGTCCAGATGGACCTCACTCCCCAGAAATTTTAGAGTTTGGAGATGGCCTTAGAGAGTTCCAAAAGAGGGTGTGTGTGTGTGTGTGTGTGTGTGTGTGTGTGTGTGTGTGTGTGTGTGTGTGTGTGTGTGTGTGTAGGTAAGAGTGGGAGTCTAGTCTTATATTTACACTGGTAAACTTACTCACCCAATATTCTTTTCAGTTAACATATTCTTTCTTAAACTCATCTCAGTAATTTTTGTTTGCTTCATTACCTTATAACAAGTTAAAAGTGCCTATGATAAGGACTTAATTATTTCCTAGAGAAAAGCAAAAAATGTGGGGAACAGGGTAGTGTTATACTATCATCTCAGGTACTGCCTATGTTCATGAACATAGACCTGGTATGGTGAGAACAAAAGGTTCCTATGCCAAATCCAGATCGGTGTATCATCGTTTGTTGGCCACAAGTGAGAATAACTGCGAAGTTTGCTTCCACTGAGAAATCTCGTAGTGGGAGCAGAACTAAGTGCTAAATAATATTCACATGTGTGGTTTGGTGGCAGTTCACTCTTCCCTGGATCTTATCAGCTGGCTTTGCTCCTATCCTATCCCTGTGGTAGGTGGCTGGGAGGGAGAAGCCATTGAGCATAAGACACAGACCCAGCAATCCTGGGTCTTTTACCAATAAGAGAAGTGTCAATGCCAGTTTAGTGAGGTCCTTAAACACCAATTACTCTGCTGGGTCTCCTAATGGACATTCTGTAACACATCAGTACTCACAGGGTTTAAAGAAAATGTATTCCCTTGCAGAGAGGAAGGCACTCTCAGACTGGTTGATTAGAGGAGACAGAGAAGAAGTCATAACCCTTGGGGGCTCGGATAGAGTGGTCGGGGTAGGGGGCAGTTGAAAGAAACCAATGAGAAAAACAATCTAAAGGTAGATGTTGAGGAAAGCCACTTTTTGAGGGGATAAAATTAGGGGGCACCAAATTCATGTTCTGGAATGTGCCCTGGGGAGAGCACTGCCCCCTGGATTTGTTCCAGTGGGACTGAAAGGTGTTGCTCTCAAGTCAGGTGCTGAGTCCCAGAGAGCTGGGTGCCGTGGGTCATGCAGTCTGTGCCTACTCAGGGAAATGACTTAGGTTCTCCCAGGTGCTGCATTGATGAGGATGAAAGCAAAACTACTTTGGAACACAAGCAACAATTGGAAGAATTTTTATATATGCATTGAAACATTTAAGAGAGCCTGGTTAACAGTTTCCTTTAATGCCAGTTCAGATTAAATGATTAGTTTAGAAACCTGTGTTACTGCCTTAGCACCCACAGGAAAAAGCAAACTCCCCTCCTACAGATAAATGAATGGGTAATAACTGGTCAGAGTCACAGTTGTTTAAATATAAACCTTTCCAAAAGCAAAAGCACGGTCCACACGAGCATACAGGAAGCCAAAGTTTGTCAGTGAGCTTACTTAATAAGTTAAGACTGAGTAATGTCTTGCCTTTAGAAACTAACCCCAGGGTGGGGATATGGGGGAGGGGAGGTGGCAGGGAGACATCTGGCTAAGAAAACCAGTAATCAGTAATAACATGCTTTTGTGCTATATGGATGTGTTAGTAAAAACACCCCCAACCAGGTATTGCAGAGGCTGGAAAAAAGATGATGGCATTATACAAGTGATACATACTTTTGTGTCAAGACTCAACAATGTGCTACAAATGTGATACTTTACCCTGAACTGCATGTATTGGGGATTGTTTTTTAAAAAACAAACAAAAAACAACAACTTTGAATCAATAAATTAACAGTTTTTCACTTGCTGGCTCTTCTTGCTGTAAATGGTAACTAAGAGGTTGGGACAGATATCTTGACATCCAGTGGAAAACTTGGATAATCTTCAAGAACCGTGGAGCCTTCTGTTTCCTTCTGTTTGCAGAAAAGCAACACTTCCTGGGTTGTGATCCTTTACCAGTGGCTACTTCAGACACAGTTGGCCACCTCTTTGTATCACTGGATGACTGTTGTATAATTTATGTGTTGCTGCCCTTAGAGGGAAGAAAAATGCCATGTTAAATCCTGTTTTCATAAATAAAAATGTTGACAATAACCAGCCTTCTCAAGTGGGAGACAAACCATTGCTATGAGGACCTTATCTTGTATTTCCTGTCTCTTGGGGGAGGAGAGGGAGAAATCTTGAACTGTAAAGGTGTGTGTATGGTGGTTGCAGTTAATCACCTTGGTGTGAAGTCTTTCCTTTAGCAGAAGGGAGAGTAGCGCGGTCATGGTGGGATTGTTTCTTTGTTTCTGAGTTGCACCACTCAGACACCTGCTTCTTGGTATCTTGCTTTATTGCATGATTTTAACCTTGTGGCCCAGTGTTCTGCATTTATGAAAAGATTTCCCCACTCCTATTCCTTGCAACATATGCATGCACATGCAGGCAAACGCTATTATTTGGCAGATGGTGCTATCTTTAATTAGTGTGCTTTCTTCCCACTGATGCCTCTGTGGAGTTGGATGTTTGGAAATCAGTTCAAGTGCTTAAAGGCAAATATATTAATTTCCTAACCTTATGCATCAAGCAGCCTTTCTCAAATACTAAGCAGTGGGACCCTTTCTTTACCCAAAGAAAGTTTTCATGACATTATTTTTTGTGTGACAATTTCCCGGGTGCATAGTCCTTTCTCTTGGTATTGTAGTACCATTCTAGCAGGCAGTGCTTCTAGAATTTTGCTGCTGGCATCTCACCACCCACTTTGCTATCCTAGACTCGGAAAGAAATGAGGTTTTCAGGCCATGCCAGACAGCTAAGAGTTTCCAGGGGAGAGTTAAAAATGTCTGAGCTTACCTACTGCTCTTCGTTTATTACTGGACCCGACCTTTTCTCTGAGTAAATTTTACAAAGTCACTTCTGATTCTTAGTCCCAAGATGTCCTCAGTAAATAGGGTCAGGTCTGAGGGGGATCTAAAGTTGGACTGCTGAACTTGTAGCTTGACTTGTGTAGAATGGTCAAGACGCTTTGAGCCTTCTCCATCAGCGTCCTGGACCCAAGAGAAGGGGTACGAGACTTGGTGGCAACATACACGGTGTGTCCAGAGCACATCCCATCCTCTCGCAGCAGGCTGTGCTAAAGACTGCCTCTGTTATGGTGATCAGAAGAGGGGAAGGAAAAGGGTACCATTTGAAACCTGAAGTCATAAAGCGAGTTCTCACTAGGTTTTCCACAGAGTGGCGTGGGATTGTCAAGCTTGCATTTCGTCCCCTGTCCTCTTCAAGAGGGACCCCCCCCCCCCCTCAACCCAGTGGAGGCCCGTCCCTCACTCCCGGTCAGATTGATTAATGCCGTCTTTCCCCTCCTCCCCATCTCTTTCCCCAGGTCTGTTGCGGTTCCTCCCACTTTTCCATAAGCAGAACAAGAACCAAATCAAACGTCTTAACGTGTGTAGAGAGATCACGTTCCGTGAGCAGACACAAAACGGTGGCAGGTTTGGCAAGCACGAACTAGACCAACTGAATACATGGCAGCCCACCACCGTATATCAAACCTCACTTCCGAATGTAAAAGGTTCACATGCCTTTGGCTTCCTGTTGACTTCCTCCCAACCCAGAAAGCATGGGAAATGTGAAGGGTGTGTGGAACGGTTGTTGGTGACTCTTGCTCCCCTGTGCCCTTGACTTGTCCTGTGGCCACCTGTTTTTCCAGCAAACCACGTTAACTAGCTGACCACAGACTCCACAGTGGGGGAATGGGGGCAATATATGGCATGACGGGAAGTTACATATTATTATTTTAAAAGTATATATTATTGAATAAAAAGTTTTAAAAGAAATGCATGGAGAGTTTTCAGTATGGAAGGGGCCACAGAGGACTGAGTAAATGGAGGCACATTGGTGCCAGGTTGTGACCAGAGGAAGGCAGAAGTCCCCAGGGCAAGGAGGGCCAGTTTTAAAGATGCCGTACAGACAGGAATGTTAGGCCATATGGAGTGAACTATCCTGGGAATGGGGCAAACTGGATAGCTGAAGGAGATCAGTGAGCCAGGAAAGCTGGGCCAGGCCTTGCCTTGAACACATTCCCATTGGCTAACATCCTCCCCTGACCCCTCCTTCAAATTGGGTGAGTCACCTTGTGTTTTGGGTGTTAGATAAATGTCTCCTCTAGGGAACTCAGGAAGATGCATTAGTCCTGTCTTCGCTGTCCTTTTGCTATGTCTCCACACATTTTATTCCGTCTCCCAGTCCTTCCCCACCAACAGCTCCTTCTGAAAAACTGTCTTGGAGGAAAGTTGAGTCTGCTGTCCTGAGGCAGGGGAGGGGTCAGGGGTCTTGGATCCAGGGGCTGCTTCTGATCACATTCTGAAGCTCCCATGAACTGGAAGGAAGAGTGGCTCACTCGAATGTGAAAGAGACTGGAATGGAAGCACCAGTGGTATTTGTTAGATGAAGAAGAAACAAAACCAGTTTTACAAAGGAGCTTTGCTGTCTACATGGGTCCTTGCCTCCCAGGACAGCTGTGCCAGGGGAGGTGAAAGTGGCAGCTACGGTCTTGTGGCCACCCAGCCTTGTCTCTGGCTGCTGGGCTGTGTCCTCCCAGTGTCTAGAGAGCAGAAGCCATGGGCAGATCTGGATATCCAGGCAGCTGGATGAGGCACCAGCTAAGCTACATGGTCTGCAGAACATTCCTTCTCTTCTCTTTGCTACTTATTCTGAACTGAGAACCCAAATATGGACACTCAACAGTTTTTGAAGCAATTAATGGGGAGGTGGAAGCAAAGAGGCCCCTTTCAGGGCCACCATGGCATCATAGCATCCTTTGGACCAGCTTATGTAGTATCTGAGCAATTCCTCAGGTGTGGGAGCTTAAGACTATGCCCCCTGGACACCAGCAAGTGAGGACCCACAGGCCACCACCAAAAGACTTCGTAAGGCCAGTGGGACACTGAGCAGATAGACATGGTACTTTCCGGCTCCATCAGCGGCCTCTCTCTCCCGTGGGACCGTTTTTGACTCAAGGCTCTGCAAATTTCAGTTGGTCTCCCAGATCACTGGGACAGCATCAACATACCTCATTATACTGATCACTGGGACTGCGTCAACATACCTCATTATACTGAGCACATCCTATGAACATGCTTTGTGTGTGCATGCTTGTCTAACACAGCATGGATCTATTACGTCTGTGTTGACCTGCTGGCATTTGAGATTCTTCCCAGACGTGGAGGGTCTTGTCCGAACAGATACATAGTCGATTGGCTTGGGAATTGTTTATATGTCATGTAGAACTTGGAAAGCTAGCTTTGTCCTCCATTTCCCCTTTCAACCACGCCTTTCTTTAACTTCTCAGTATGGAAATCTTGTTTTCCAGAAACCTCTGAAACAAATAATCTTGGATTTTGTGGATAATTACAGTTGGGTAGGAGAGTGGTTGTAGAAACAAGAGGAAGGAAGAGTTTTTGCTTAGGTTGCTTTGACTTTGAGAGAAGGGGACAAGTCACCTGCTAATCCAAGAACCATCTACAGCTCACCCATAACATGTTGGAGATTCGGAACATCAGTTCACATCTTCCAAAAGTCCTGTTTATGTTTCAGTTGTTTAACGTTTATTTCATTTTCCTGATTACCAAAGTAATACTTGTATATGCTAATGGTAAAATATTCAAGTATTACAGAAAAGTAAATAATGAAAGCACATGCCCCCCGCCAACCATACACACACAACACACGTGCATGAAAGCTCTTTCCTCACCTGGAGGTAACCACTGTTAAACTTGATGTATATCTTCCCATTTTTCCCCTATGCATTTACTAACATTTTAAAATTATGATTTTCATTGTTACAGAAATGAAAGCATACTCTACATTCTTTTTCTGCAACTTGTGTTTTCACTTAACTGTGAACATCTTCCTATGTTAGCATGTATAGGTCTACCTCATCCCTTTTCATGGCTGCATGGTATTCCATTGTGTGATATACCACAGTTGAAGCAATTCCTTAGTGAAAGACTCTGGGTTGTTTCCAGTTTTTCATTATTGTCACTATTGCTGCAGTGAACAAATTTGCACATACATTTTTAGATGGCATGTATGTGTGACAAAATCTTTGAAAGGAATTACTCTGCCATATAATACTTTTAGAAAGGGTATTGTTATGATTCTGACAGGGCAGTCTTCCATACGTTCCCTCACTGGTGCAGGTTGGAACTGCTATGACTTTAGTCATGGCATTCTTGAAGGACTATGTCAGCCTCTTAGGGCCTGGTTCCCAGGGTCTATGAGCTTTCCAGGGGTTTACAGAAATGTTTGAGACCTGAAGAAAAAAAAAAAAAAAAAGCGTTGACTCTAACCTAAGAAAGTTGAAAATAAAGATTGATAAATGGAATTAAATGTCTTCAATGTACAATCCTGTGAACTTCATTAGTTGCTGAATTCAATGTTTGCTTTTAAAAATATTTTTCTCATGATAGTGAAGAGTCACAGACAATCATAACAATCAATTTCAAAAGCAAATTATAAAGATTATTTTTAAAAATTACAGGAAAAAACTTAAATATAAAAAATGGTTGCATTTTAATGTGTTTGAAATACTGGGAGAAAGCCCTCAAAAGTAAGCATGCCGAGGGCCAGTAAATGTTTTAAAACAGCCCTGGCTAGAGGGGCCAAGTGGCAGAGTGGATAAACAATTCTTTTCAGCATATTACTCTACAGGCTGTTAAAATAATGTGCATCTCAACTGCATTGTGCTGAGTAAAGAAACCAGACTCAAAAGGCTACGTACCGAATGATTCCATGTATATGACATGCTGGAAAACGCAAAACTGTAGGGATGGAGAACAGATCCATGGTTGCCAGGGGTTAAGGGTGACTACACAGTGTTAGTATGAGGTAATTTGGGGGTGATGGAATTTTTGTGTCCTAAATGTGGTGATGAATTGGTGCCTTTGTCAAAAATTATCCACCAAAAAGAGTACATTTTACTATAGATAAAAATTTTTTTTAAATATAATAATGTTCAGGGGCCTACCACAGTCCCATTTGGACTTCACGCTCAGATTAGCAGAAACCTCATCTGCCCCTCACTGACTTGCTGATAGTCAGGGCTGATGGTCTTTGGATCTAACTGCTGGGGCTGGGATTCAGTTGTCCGTCGTCTGCCAACTGAACACTCCAGGCATTCAGGGCACACACTCTTCCATCTTCATTCCCAGCTAAGGGGCACAACTCCTCACCTCAGTGTCTACCTCCCCATCCCCATGCCCATCAGCAAGGAGAGGTGGGGAATAAACTCTGCTTTACAGTATGTGGTAAGTCCCTTGTGTGTCTTGAGGGCAGGTGCTCTGAGTTTCTGGGCTTGGACTGATGTGAACAGACCATTCACTGGGTGTTGGCATCTGACCAGGGCTTTTAGGCACTGAAGGGGACGCTTATGGTTATTGGTGTTTTAAATAATATCTTAGTTATTAAAGCTATACATTTAAGAACCTAATTTGTCTCATGTCTTTTAGATCAGTTTACAAATCTTGTATTTATAGCTACAAACTAGTTGATTTTGTATGTAAATATAACCAGTTTTGTTTAATCTTGGTTGATGTTTAATTCAAAACTTAATGGGTAACATTGTTTACACACTTAGTTCGTTTGCACATTTCAAACTCAATCACATATTTAATCTGTTTGATTTGCACAAACACTTCTAATAGCTAATATGAAAGACCTAAAACCTGCTGAAATCTTCCTAAGCATTAAATACTACCAAACCTAAGTCTAAACTCATAAATTCATAAATCAAAATCTTTTAAACATACGTCATTTATAAACTTAATTGAATTTTCTTAGGCATTTTAAAATTAAAATCTCAAGTCTATGTGGGGAACTGGGTGTCCTCACAATGACCCCCTAAGCTAAGGAGCCAAATGGGACAGACCGCTGAAGTAGCAGTGGACAAGAGCACAGAAAGAGCTGATGCTGCAACCCTTCCTGGGAGGGCTGCATGCTGTGATTGTTTTGCCTAACCGCAACATTTTGACCTAAGCTACGCTGTCAAGAACTGATGGTAACAGCGATACCCGATACCAGAGAAAACGAGAAAAGATGGTTACACAAGAACTCTTCATGACCTCCACCCCCACCCATTGTTTTTTGTTCTCTTGCACCTGTGAGTTTCTATAAAAGGAGCTTATTTCCCTCATTAAATGGGGCTTGATCAGACTTCTGTCTTTCTCCCTTCCTTTGCGTCTCTTGTCCTACCCACTCCCCCTTCCAGGTTCCATAGACTGACTCCCAATTCCCACGGGTTGGGACAAGTCTAATTTCAAATTTCTTTAATATTTTCAAATTAAATTCAAGGTGTCAGATCCTCTAATTACGTTAGGTCCTCTTAAATATTTCAAATATCTTAAATAACAATATCACCGTAATCAGAAATTTATTCAATTTGACACAGATTACTGTGGTCATGGGTTTGATTTACTTGCTGTAATATCTGTGTGTTTTGACACTCACCCCACCAAAGTAACATAGTCCTCCTCAGCTAAGGACTGTGATATGTTAATGGTCAGAGATTCTGGGCCAGGCACAGGACTGGGATCTGTGTGTTTTGACACTCACCCCACCAAAGTAACATAGTCTTCCTCAGCTAAGGACTGTGATATGTTAATGGTCAGAGATTCTGGGCCAGGCACAGGACTGGGTACTACTTCTGCGATGGTTCTACCAAATTGCAAGTTAACAAGCCAAGCCCCTTCTTGTGGTAATGGGATTCTCAAGACCACCTGGTATCTTGCACCTCAGGCGATACTTCACTTCTTGCATGACTTGTAAATGCCTGATTTGC